AGGAAAAAAGATCTTCATCTAATGTACATCAGTTGGTTATCTGCATCCAAATTATGGTTGCTCTAAGTATAATTTACCTCTATGGGTCACTTCTCTATCTGTTCTATCTTTCTAACGTCAGTGAATTGTGGGATCGTTATTCTTTAGTGTTGATGGATGTCTCACTCTTAAGAAAGCAAAGCTATTTTCTTCCAGATCAAAATGAAATTGATGTAATTGGATAATTTATTACATAGAACTCTCGAGAGAAAAACATGTTATAATCAGATATGAAGCTAACGATTAAAAGTGATCATTAGAGTGTAGGTGTTTAAAATGTAGATTAAATGGTAGATTTAAGGTTGTAGTTAAGGATAAAAGAATGGAATATTTTGTAGTCATATAATGCTCTCCCTCTAAATGCAAGTTGTTGCTTCAAGACTGGTGTGCGTCAACACCTGAACTAAGGATAGGGAGTGAAGTAGTCGAACGCATTGACAACTTCACTTATCTTGGAAGTCTGATCAGCCTTAATGGGTTGGTGTCTGACGAAATCTCAGCAAGGATTCGTAAAGCTCGTTTGGCTTTTGCCAACTTACGTCACCTATGTCGCAGGCAAGATATCCGTCTATCAATCAAGGGACGAGTATACTGTGTGGTAGCTCGTTCCGTTCTACTATACGGCTGCGAAACATGGCCTTTAAGAGTAGAAGATACTCGTAAGCTACAAGTATTTGACCACAGATGCCTTAGAATTATTGCTGGTATCTGCTGGGATCACCGGGTAAGTAACAGTGAGGTTAGACGCAGGTTATTAGGTAATGATGGTAAATCAGTTGATGAGGTTATGAATCTTCATTGACTGAGATGGTTGGGCCACGTTTAGCGTATGCCTGAACACCGATTATCACGACGCGTAACGCTAACCGGTATTAGGGATGACTGGAAGTAAGTTAGGGGCGGCCAAACCAAAACGTGGCATCAGTGCTTGAAGTCACTAACTTCTGGTCTGAGCCGTGTTGGTAGATGCAGACTACCTGGTTGGGGTGTGCGTGACTATCGTAACGAGTGGTTGGAGACTCTTGGTGACATGACTCAGAATCGATCACAATGGCGTCGGTGTATACACTCTCTGTCTTCCTTTAAACAAAGAGATTGAAATCACTTCAAATCTTTCTTTCTAGGAACTAATTCTTTCTTTCTGTACTATCTCCTTATATGCAATCTTTTCTTTATATATTACCACCACTGAATTAACTACTTCTATGAATCCGGTGTTCATCTTGTTGGGCTAATGCGGTATGGCAACTTGGACCGATGCATATACGTGCCTGGTCCTACGTTGCAGCTGAATGACTGACTGAGTCATATAATGGAATATTGATGCGGTTAGTTCTTTAATTTTAAATTTTAGAAAATTTTATGTTATTTTAATAGTTGAGATCATGAATCAGTTGAAGCTAGATCATCAACATATGCTTACTAGTGACTGGTTTCAAGAGGTATATTTCCTTTAGTTCTAGTGAGAAGCAATGGTCAGTAGAATTCAACCGGGTCTGTTGTGAAATAGTAACTTACTGAAGACAATAGTGGATGTGTCGCTCAATTTCGTGGATTCTTTGAAGTTAGACATTAACACTGTTAGATGTCGGCCAGCTTAGTGTTCTAGAGGTTAAGCTAAGCATTTGCACATTTAACGGTGAAATATATGTCATTTACATACTGTAGTCAAACTTTAGTTATATTTACACATTTGATGATTCATTTATTTCTAAGGAATGTAGGAATAAATTTTCTACGGTCACAGAAACTGGTGAATCCACTGTCATACCTTTCTATCTGTAAAGATATCGGAATAAGAGTAAGGTGAATCATCAATAGAATCCCAAACACTTAATAAACTTGAAAAGATCTAACGAATATTGTAAGTTCAAATCTGAGTCAGATTTTAAACAATCATAGGTAATCAGAACGGGTTTTGTGGAGATTTTAGAAATTTCACTGATTGAAATCATGAGTCAATTGAAGCAAGACCATCATAGAAAACCTGGAAGCACTGGACGCCCGTTTCGTTCTAGTATGGGACTCTTCAGCGGTGCCCATTCACGATCCCGCACCCTGCGATATTCGAACCCAGGACCTACCAGTCTCGCGCGCGAGCGCTTAACCATCAGACCACTGAGCCGGCATCCAACAGTGTTAATGTCTAACTTCAACTAATCCACGAAATTGCACGACACATCCACCATTGTCTTCAGTGAGTTACTATCTCACAACAGACCTGGTTCAACTCCACTGGTAATGGCTTCTCACTAGAACTCCAGGAGTATCTCTTGAAGCCAGTCACTAGTGAGCATATGTTGATGAGTATCAGAAGAGGTTTTGTGGAGATTTTAGAAATTTCACTGATTGAAATCATGAGTCAATTGAAGCAAGACCATCATAGAAAACCTGGAAGCACTGGAGGGCCGTTTCGTCCTGGTACGGGACTCCTCAGCAATGCGGATCATAAGTAATATCTAGTAATTTAGTGATAGATACATTAGTAAATAAGAAAGAAACATCCAAACTTTCCATCAGTTTATCCACTTCCATGTGAATGATGTCGATATTATTCTTGAAATCAATCGTGTTTAATTTCATAATGAACCAATTTGTCATATGTAGTTTGTGATATTTTCGGTGCCCAATTTCTGTCAAACTATTTGTTCAAATATTGATGAATATTTATATAATCTATAAAGTTGTTGTCTGTCGGTTTGAGTCATACTGGTAAATAGAGATTAGCTAATTAGGGCTTGTATCATAGTCGTAATCAATGGTTAGATAAGTTGAATAACATCTCTCAGAATCTTTGTCAATAGTAGAAATGTATTTGATAAGTCTTGTAAATTGAACGCTATATTCGGTTCCTAAGCTATTCTTGTCACCCCGCAAAGCTAGAACTATACAGTGATCTGAACACGAGAGAGAGAGAAGGCGCAAAGTATGCGAGAAGTACTTTACTCCAAGGTCCATTTTCATACAAAAAATAAAGGGTTTTTATAATATTCTAAATGTATTTGTGTTGCTCGAAGATTTTGGAATGCTACTAAACATAATAACAGTATACGTAATCAGCCAATCAGAACCTCTACATATGACGTTTCACTTCCTTGATGTTTCTGGCTAAACTTTAAATGAACGCTGATTGGATGAAATGCATCTTAGTGTTTTTCTGATCCTTTTTTGTCTTTCGCGAGAAGTTTTCTGGATCACTTCAACAGTATTCATTCATCATCTTCCCTTAGATCTTTAGTTTAGAGATTGACTTATGCAAATGTATTTCAACTTTTCAAAGTATATCTTGAATATTTATTTGTTTTTCTTTTTTTTCTTTGTTTTTGTGTTACTACTATTCAGACAGCTTTTGTTGTCTTGTTAGTGTTATCTCACCTTGTTGATTTTGTATGATGGTAACTTAGATCAAATAAACTCCGCCTTTAGTTGTTCTAGGGTTATTATCAGTTCCAAGTCAAAATAAAGGAGAAGGGTTAAGCGTAGTGTCATCATGCCTATCCCTTAGAAAACAACGTTGTTAAGAAAATTACTTTACTTAATTACGCCTGTTACTCCTCGTGAAGGAGCATAGGCCGCTCACCAGTATTCTCTATCCATTAAGTTAGATTTCACATTTAATTGTTATGAATATTTGTGCTAGTAATACTGTCGTATATGCTACTGATGTCGATAGATATAAGTAGTATGTATCGTCAATCAAAAGTTATGTACCTGGAGACAGGTTAAGAGGATTAAAGAAAGGGGAACGAGAACAGACAATAATTAGTGTGGAAATGAAAGAACAATGGAGTCTAAGACGATTGATTAACATTTTACAAATGAAATGCTTATCGTATTGTACTCACATATTACTGTAATGTTGTATTGAAATACATTTGGTTATCCCCACTTGTGTTATCGTTCATTACAGTACTAACCGGTTAGGAGACGAAGATTGAATCCATCAGTTCAATAGCTAGAATTGATCTGTTTTAACTCTTAAGATCATTATTCTATATAGAATGATCATTTAATTAATTGACTATTGAAATTAATACTGTTGTGACGTTTGACCGGTATGAGCAGCCTACCGTCCTTATTGATCCGATGTTCGCCTAGCCGATCCAGTTGAGTCCAGAACACGAATATCAACTTCCACTATTCGAGTCAAAACGAATTGAATCATATATTTCAGACATACTGGATTTATATATCAACCAAACAGACTGCAACGCACCGTAAAATCGGAAATAACATTTGTACACAATAAAGCAAAAAAGTGGCTGTGAACATTGGAGGCATTAGTTGATAAACTGAACATAGCTTAAGAACAGTGAATCGTACAATAATAAATTATGGGTCAAAATAAAGCTTATAACAAGGAGAATATAGATATACATAATCTAGTTGCTGAATATTTATACGATAAGAATATATGAATAATATTAGTTCGTTAATAGTCCTCTGGGGTTACCCGTAATTTAATCTTCACTAGGATATAACAAATACAATCTCTCTAAAACCCCTTCTGATATTAATCAACATATGGTCAGTTGTGACTGGCTTCAAGATGTATATCCTGGAATTCTAGTTAGAAGCAGTGACTAGTGGAGTGCAACCGGGTTAGTTGTGAGATAGTCACTGACTGATGATAATGGTGAATGTGTCGTTCAATTTCTTGGATTAGTTGAAGTTAGACATTAACATCGTTGGATGTCGTCCGACTTAGTTTTCCTGGAGGTTAAGTGCCCGCTTGCGAGACTAATTGGTTTTACGTTGGAATCTCGCGAATTAAGATTGTGGATGTGCACTGCCACTGAATAGTTCCATAATACCATGAAACGGTCATCTATTGCTTCCAGGTTTTCTATAATGGTCTAACTTCAATCAACTCATGATGTGAACTATTGCAAATTAAATTATGATTATCAAATCATTATTTATGCCCATTGTCCCATTCATCTTATTATTGTCTCATTACAGAAACGAATTATGCAATATCAATCAGTAAGACGATTATGGTTTATTACATCTAATCTTATTATCATCAAATTTAAATTACCCAATCATTCTTATCGGGATCAACATTATTCTACTTCAACTGTTTATATTTATCCATTAACAAAATGTATTCCATTAGGTTTACCAAAAACATTTGATCAACAATTTATTTCTAATCATTGTCATCTATATAATTTACCATATTATTATAATGGTAATAATAATAATAATAAAGATCAAATTATAAGTAAATTACCTAGAGTTGTTCATTCAACACGTCGTGCTGATCTATTATATAACCAATTATATAATCATAATCATAATACAGATCATCATCATGATCATAATCATGATCCTAGTGATCGGATCAAATCTTTATCTTCATATCAATCATTATTTCATAAACATCAATCACGTCAATATATACAAATTGCATTATATCATTATGTATTAAATAATTTACTTGGTCTATCTCATCTACCATCCACAATGAACAATCCTCCTCCTCCTCCTCCTCCTCCTCCTCCTCCTCTTCCTCCTCCTCCTCATCATCATCATAATTCTATACCATTATTATTAGATCTTGGTTGTGGTATCAATCATTCAGATATAATTAATCATTATTTATTAACTATATCGAATTTTAATAAAAAATTCATACCCATATGTATTGATCTATTCAATAATAACAATACTACTACTACTAATAATAATACTACTACTAACAATACTACTAACAGTAATAATAATACCACTACTACTACTACTACTACTACTACTACTACTACTACTACTACTACTACTACTACTACTACCACTAATACTACCAATAGTAATGCTACTACTACTGATACTAATAATAGTAGTAATGATATATTCAATTATAATATTCATTTAATGAAATGTAATTTAATGAAAGATTATATAATCAATCGATCAACATTATTACCATTTCAAGATTATTCTATCGATTATATTATATCTATATCATTTATACAATGGTTATTAGGGAAACAAAAATCAATATATTCTATCAAACAATTTATTCATGAAATAATACGTTTATTAAATCAATCAAATGGTCAATGTATCATACAATTTTATCCAAATCAATTAATCGATATAAAATTGATTATTGATATAATTGAATTATATCAATCAAATTTTAATGGTTGTTTATTAATTAGTAAACCAATTATAAATCGTGGTATGAAAATATTTATTTATTTAACATATAAATAATTATTTATGATTGTTTGTTTGTTTGTTTATGTAATAAACTGTTTATAAGTTGAGATGTGGAAGGTTTACAGTTCGATTCCCGTTGATGCAGAATTGTGGATGCAGACTGATGAAGAATTTCACAATAGGGCGTTCAGTGTTTCTTTGGGTTTTTCAATCAGTCTTCAACATTGTACATACGTACATCATTTCGAGTTGTCATATCACATTAGCACAGAGATACAATTATTGATTCAAATCCCATAGTGGTACACGTAGTAAAAGTATAAGCAGTAATCGGAAACATTAGGGTTGGATGATGTTATTCAAGGAGTATAATCCAGTCAAATAAATTTGGAAAGGGAAATAAGGAAGGATAATGAAGAATTTAGAAGATTAGAATTCGGGAGAACACAAAGAGTGGATGCACCTGTGCCATTACTAACGATTTTGAGACATGTCATTCAATGTCCCTAACCATCGGTTGCTATCATCTCGCGGTCCCCAACCACGTAGATTACACCTGGCAACATGGCTCAGTCCACTTGTCAGTGACTTCATGGATTTGTGCCATGATTTGTTTTGGCCGCCCATAGCTTTCTTCCAACCTACTCCTAAACCACTAAACATCGCTTGTCGGGGCAGTCGGTGGTTGGGCATATGTAAAACGTGTCCCAGCCATCTGAACTGATAAAGTATCAATACTTCATCAATTGATTTGCCATTCCTACCTAGTACTCGTTTCCTAACAAGTGTATTATATACTCGATGGTCCCAGGATATACGAGCAATGTTTCGAAGACACCTATGATCGAATACTAGTAACCTACGAATATCCTCTACTCTTACCGGCCATGTTTCACTGCCATAAAGTAGAATGGAACGAGCTGCTGCACAGTAAACTTGTTCTTTGGTTGATAGACGGATAACTCGCCTACGCCGTAAATGATGCAAGTTGGCAAAGGCTGATCGAGCCTTCTGTATCCGTGCTGAGATTTCGTCACACACCAGACCACAAGGGCTCATGTGACTTCCCAGATAAATGAAGCGGTCGACACGCTGAACTACTTCACGCCCTATCATTAGTTCGGGTGTCGATACAACCCAATCCTTAAGCAACATTTTGCACTTCAAGTAGGAGAATTGCACTCCGAACATGCATGCATTGTTGCTTATAGTGGTCAGAACACCGTGCATTTTGTCAGCGTCTTCACCAAATAGAACTATGCCATCGGCATATTCTAAATCAACAAGTGAATTTCTCGGTAGAAGTTCAACTCCTGTCAATTTATATGAGGAAAGTGTCATCTCTAAAAGCGCGTCTACTATCATGTTAAACAAGAATGGAGAGAGTGGGCAGCCCTGACGAACACCACTTGAGGTAATCAATTCTGATGACAGTTTGCCATAAGCTCTCACTTTATAAGGTCAATGTACTTCTTTGGTACTCCTTTCAGTGACAAACACTGCCATAGAACCTCACGATCAACATAGTCAAATGCCGCCTTAAGGTCGAGAAATACTATCAATGTGAGGCGTCTGAATGTGTGTCTATGTTCTAGGACCTGACGTAATGTGAATATTTGATCTATACATCCACGTCCAGGTCGAAAATCAGGCTAGTTTTACCTAGTCTGTTGTTCACGAGCTTTAGTTAGGTGTCGAAGAATTATTGAAGCTAATATTTTAGACACTATATTAGTCAAACTAATTCCTTTGTGATTTTATCTAGTGCCCCCTGGTTATCAGCTTCCTCCAAACAGAAAATGTTTTTTTGATGTGTATCAATAAGCGAAAGGTCATGGTCCATAACCTTCTATAGATATGCTTTATCCAACATATATTAACAATGTGGTGTTTTGTGTCTAAAATAAGTGCTGACAGTGTTATAATAAATGCCCTGGTATGGCCGAGATTGGGGGGAGTCCGCTCCTCCTCTCGAAATGCTCTCACATGGCCACGCGTATACAGCCCCTGCCAGGAAAGTCCTACTCACTGCCTTCTCGTGGTGGGGGTGTTGTTTACGAAAATGAGAGGACGAAAAGCGAATGTCCGGCGCTATAACCGGACCCCAAACCAATGGTGCACATGTGCTGGCTCCAGTATCCTGCGGAAACAAATGGCGTATGAACCAATCGTTGGTCACCGGTTACCATGGGACTGCATCTCCTCACGATGCTCTACTGCCTTGTCAGTGAGATCTTCAGGTCGAAGGCTCTGTGTTTGGCTCCCTAAGAAAACCACCTGCTTCGGTTTGGGCACCCGAGCAGTATCACAGCCCTTACACATATCAAATGAGATCTGTGTGGCGCATATGTATTTGGTGCCTTCTTGTACCAATATCTGTGTGTTAAAATAAATAAATAAATAAATAAATAAGCTTACAGTTAAACTCCCTAACTCAAAGATCATATTACTTAATGACCTGTTTAATATGTCTTTTGAACGGTTAAACTACTTCGTAGTTCTCATAAATCTTCTACTCTTAAACTGTGAGAAGTAAACATAACTTATGAAGTATGGAAGCAGTTTATAAGGGTATTTATACGAATACATATGAACTTAACACTGTAGAAACTTTTGTAAAGAATAGGCCAAATATTAGTATCAGGTTAAAATTTTGTCCAATCAGCATTATGGAAATATAATCGATCATTTTCTGGAATTCTTTTAAAATTTCCCAAAGATCATTAATTGGTCGATGAATTTTCATGATTTATTTGGTTTATAAAAAAATTTCCTAGGAATTGTCAGGAGATCTTAACAGTTCGATTATTAACCTCTCTGTATAAGACTCCTCACTGTAGTTGGTGCATAGGTCATATTCATTTTAATAAATCGATTGATTTTTCTGTTTGGTGTCTATTTTAGATTTTTAAAGATGAGTTTGTAGCTCTTCTAGGGCTACTGCCAGTTCCAAGCCTGGGTAAAGCAAAAGGGTTGGGAGTGGGGTTAGCAATCTTATCCCGTAGAAGATAACCTTGTTAAAAATGACAAGTAGCTGTGAACATAAGTTTCTGACATCACCAAGTGATGTTTGAAATATATAGGGAGAAGATATCACATTCATTTCAAACCTGTGTCACTGAATTATACTGGCTGTCTATAATATCCTGTAGGATTGAATGATGATGTTTTTGGTCAAAAAGTGAATTTGAACCTCACAGGGTATATCATTTTTATCAAGATAACAAATAAGATTTGATTAAAAGCATGTAAGGCCTTCTGGCTTTTGGCATCCACTACAGAACATAAAAATATCATATACTCGATGTACATCTGTTAAAACTAGTAACTATATTGTATTTTAATCAATAAAACTCAATCACTCACTGAGAATTAGATGAAAATGACATATTATCTTTTACTCACCAACATATCACCCCTAAATGAACTGGTATGGCCGAGAGTAGGAGAGACAGTTCTTTCTCTCGAAATGCTCTCATATGAACATGTGCATACAACCACTATCAGGGTAGTCCTACTCACTGACTTCAACTGTCATTACTATTGTTTACGAAATTGAGAAGGCGAAAAGCAAATGTGGAGAGTTCACCTAGAAAAGTTGAACAACTCTGATTCCAAACTAATGGTATACATGAACTGCAGTATCCTAAAGGAACACATGACATATGAACCAATTATTGGTTACCGACTGCCATAAGATTGCATTTCCTATTGCTTTATAAATTAGAACTTTAGGTCGAAGTCTCCAGGTGTAACACCCCCCCCAAAAAAACCCACTTACTTCAGTGTTCACAACTAATCTGCATTCTTATTGATCATACATTTCTTGTTAATTAGTTTCCATAATATACAATCAATTAAGAAAAAAAAAAACAATAATTTGGCGCGCACACACACACAAACTTAATTACAAACGTGATTGAATTCATATATAATAATAATTAAACTATAATTAATAATAATAATAATAATAATAATAATAATAATAATAAAGTATTCATTAAGGAAATGACAAAATAATTAAAATAAATACTGAAATTTAAAACAAAAATAATGTTTATCTTTTCTTTTCTTTTCTTTATTTTTTTCTTTTTTTTTAAAAAAAAAGAAAAAAAAATTTAAATAAATAAATTAGTCGATATGGTAACAAAAAAAATCAATAATAAAATATTGATAATAATAACAATAAGAATAGTAATCATCATCATAATGATGATGATGATTTATCTTTTTACTACTGATACTACTTATATATATTAAATTAAGTAGCATAATCTACTTGATGATTTATGATGTAATTTTTTATTTGTATTTAATTTTATAATAGAATTATTTTGTTTTAATGAATATTCATTGAATTTCAATGGAATTGGTTTTGTTTGTAATGAATTTTCATGAAGATTATTAGAACTTTGTTGTATAGGGGTTAAATTAGTATTGAATTTGATTGATTTATTTTGATTATTATTATTATTTATTATTATTATTATAAGGTAACAATGTCATCTGATCTAATTGACTAAGACGTCTTGATCTATAGAATGTAATAGAATAAAATAAAAGAAACAATTAGTAAATTCATTAGTTGAGATCATAAAAACCTGAAAGTACTGGATGACCGTTACGTCCTAATACGGGACTGCTGAGTGGTAGTGTGCATCCAAGATCCCCCCGCGAGATTCGAACGCAGGATCTACCAGTCTCATGCGCGAGCGTATAACCACTAGACTACTGAGCCAACCGATATCCAATGATGTTAATTAGTCACTTCAAGCAGTGACCAATGGAGTTCAACCGAATCTGTAGTGAGATAGTAACTCATTGATAACAGTGATAGGTGTTTCGATCAATTTGGTGGATTAGTTGAAGTTAGATATTAACATCATTGGATGTCGGCTGGTTTAATGGTTTACAGGGTTAAGGGTTCTCTGTCGAGACCGACAGGTCCTGGGTTTGAATCTTGAGAGGTAGAATTGTGGATATGCACTGCCACTGAGGAGTTCCGTAATAGGATGAAACGGCAGTTCACAGCTTCTAGGTTTTTCATAGTTGTCTAACTCCAATTGACTCATGATCTCAACTATTAAAACAAAGAAGTTTTTATGGTTTTAATATTATGATGATTACATATTATGCAACACACTGAATCTTATTTCAAGCTTATTAAAAATCAATTTGTACTCCAGTGTGTATTATAGTTGAGAACTATAATTTATGGATGATCTTTAAGTGATGCTAAAACAACCTCAAGAGAATGTTCACGAACATGCTATGGCTAAATGAGGTTTATAAACCAATGTGACGAATTAAAATTATGATTTACAGTTGATAGTTAGGGTTAAGAGTTAGATTTAACGGTTTTCATGATGAATTAACATAAACTATAATGCCAAAACTCTATTCAGCCAAATGAATGAATGAATTTTGTGCTGAAATTCAAGACCTGTTATCGTAGATCTGATTGGTTCATTCATAAATTATAGTTTCTCCGTATTCGGTCAAAAATTATTATGAACAAGATGGTTTGTTTACCTGATATAAATGATACAATAGATTATGTAATTGAGTAATTTTACTCAACTATAATAGTTGATACTACCTAGCTTATATTATGTGTTACTGATGTTTACAGATGTAAGTAGTATATAACAGTCGTTGAAAGTGGAATGATTAGCATTAGAACGTTGAAAACATCGTATTGAACAGAACGAGAACAAATTGTGATCAGTATGGAAACGAAAGAACAAATGAAGTATTTACTGTATGATTCTCAAATTTTACCATGATATTCTGTTATGTTGTATTAGGATACATTTAGTTATGCCCATTTTTGTTCTCGTTCATTACAATGGAACGTATATTATTAGGAAGACAATTACATAACAAACAATCAGTTTAGCTGTTTTTGTAACAATCATCAATATGACTTCCATCATGACAAATAACACCATTCTCAAGATGAATAATTCAACAAAGTACTCTGTTAGCGCATGATACTCAACATCCATTGGCCGGATACCATCAGCAACAGCCTTTTGTGGGAGAGAACCAACCAGCTTCCAGCTGAAGAGGAAATTAGGAAAAGACGATGGAAATGGATAGGACATACATTGAGGAAATCATCAAACTGCATTACGAGACAAGCGCTAACTTGGAATCCTGAAGGGAAGCGGAAAAGAGGAAGGCCAAGGAACACATTACGTCGGTAAATAGAAGCAGATATGAAAAAGATGAATAAGAACTGGAAAGAGCTTGAAAGGATTGCTTGGGACAGGGTTGGATGGAGAATGCTGGTGAGCGGCCTATGCTCCTTCACGAGGAGTAACAGGCGTAAGTAAGTAAGTACTCTGTTAGGTTATTCATCTTGAAAGTTATTAGTGTTAAAATTATGTTATTTTTTCATAAGACAACTAATATTTGTGACAATTAATATGAGAAAATGAAGCAATTATAATAAAATAGATAGAATGTCGCCAGTAGTAGAGTCCAGGATACGCATTTCATCCAGTTCGAAACTGGTCGACTGGATGAACCTGTATCCGAATGTTGATGTCTATTTCGGGATTTCAACATTATGCTTTGCTTCAAACACCAATCATGAAGTGGACATTAACTCTTCAATGCAGGTACATCCAGCTGATGAGTTCTGAACTTGACAAGGTATATATACTGTAATCAATTGTTAGCCAAAATTCATTTATATTACAGCCGTTCAGTGCTTTCAGATTTTCAGTGGTAGTTTAGCTTAGATTGACTCATGAATTCAACTGTTGACATATTCAATACAACTGATAAAAAAATATCAGATGGGTTTTGTGGATACTATAGTAATTTCAATGGTTATGATCATGAGTCAGTTGAAGCCAGAGCACCATGGAAAACCTGGAAGCACTGGACTGGCTTCAAGAAGTATGTCCTGGAATTCTAGTGAGAAGTAGTGACTAGTGGAGTTCAACCAGGTCTGTTGTGAGATAGTAACTCACTGAAGACAATGGTGGATGTGTCACTCAATTTCGTGAATTACTTGAAGTTAGACATTAATACCGTTGGATGCCGGCTCAGTGGTCTAGTTGTTAAGTGCTCGCGCGCGAAACCAGTAGGTCCTGTGTTCGGATCACGCAGGGGGATGCGCACTGCCAAAGAGGAGTCCCACAGTAGGATGAAACGGCTTTCCAGTGCTTCCAGTTTTTCCATGGTGGTCTGGCTTCAACTGACTCATGATCTTAACCATTGAAATTGATAAAAAATGTTTATATTGAGGTAATCTGTACAGGATTCATATATGCCAATTAAACTTAATAGAATTTTAGTCAAACTATCAACAACGGGATAATCTAAATTGTGTTTTCAATGACAAACATTCCATTATTAAGCTAGATAGTATAGTTGAGTAAAATCAATAAGTTACATAATTTATTGTATCGTTCATATCAGGTAGACAAACCATTTTGACCATGATAATCTTTGACCTAATACGGCGAGTCTATGCCCCTAAATGCCCTGGTAAAGCCGAGAGTAGGGAGAGTCAGCTCCCTCTCTCGAATTGCTCTTGCATGTCCATGTGCATGCGACCACTGCCAGGGAAGACCTACTCACTGCCTTCTCGTGGTTAGAGGTGATGTTTACGAAATTAAGAGGAAGACAAGCGAATGTCCGGAGCCCTAACCGGGTTAGTGGAGGTGGAAGATCCACGTAGAGGAGTTGGAAAACCCTGATTCCAAAACAATAGTGCACGTAGATTCCAGGGTTGTGAGGAAAAAACGTGTCTTATGAACCAATCATTGGTCACCGACTACCATGGGACAGCATCTTCTGACGTTGCTTCGCTGCCTTGTAGATACATGGTATGCTATGCTCTAACTCCTCAACTGACTACTTGGGCGAGAAACTGCGTTGGGCTATCAAATAAAATGTACAAAATACTCTTTCATATATATACGACTCTAATCTTTAGAAAATTGATCCATTTCTTAGCCAATGAAATGCATTTGTACTTTAGATCACTCCTGATCGTCATCAGTTGACCTTCACACTAGGCTACTTCAGAGTGGCTCTCCATATCAACATTCGACATTTAGTTTCTCTCGCTACCATAGATATCACTATTCATGATGATGATGATGGTGATTTTATGTCTCTACACTCAAATGATATAACAATTTAAGAAGATAAATATCTGTGTTAGGTCTAATTATTTACTTATCTTTTTGATTGAAATCATGAACCGATTGATGTTAGACCATTATTGAAATTCTAGAAGTACTGGACAGCTGTTTCATCTTATTGTAGGGCTCCTCAGGGGTGCGCATACATGATCTCGCTCTCAGTATTCGAACTCACGGTCCTCGATCTCCCCAGTTACACAGAATAGTGATCAATCTCGATCTAATCTTTTCTACCGTCAAATATTTTACTTTTTTTATTTTAACATGTAGATATTGGTACAAGGAGGCACCAAATACATATGCGCCACACGAATCTCAATTGATTTGTGTGAGGGCTGTGATACTGCCCGGGTGCCCAAAGCGAAGCACGTGGTTTTCTTAGGGGGCCACTCCCCGAGCCTTCGACCTGAACGTCTGACCCACAAGGCAGTGGAGCATCGTAAGGAGATGCAGTCCCATGGTAGCCGGTGACCAACGATTGGTTCATACGCCGTTTGTTCTCGAAGGATACTGGAGCCCATGTGCACCATTGGTTTGGAACCCGGTTAAAGCCGGTGCCAGACATTCACTTTTCGTCCTCTCATTTTCGTAAGCAACACCCCCGCCACGAGATGCCAGTGTGTAGGACTTCCCGTCAAATATATTATCAAATCAATATACAAATTAAACTATTGGTTTTTTTTTCTTACCTATGAATTTTATGCAACATAATACGATATGCACCAGTAACAGCGCATCGTGTTGAATAATTATATGAATTTTGTATTTCATCTGTGGTAATACCTAAATTAGATAATAAATAATTTGCTGCTTCTAATTCTGCATCATCTTGATCATTTTGATCATTGGTCAATATTTGATCGGATGAATAGGTCACATTGAATGAATTCAATGTTACATTATCAGGTTGATTATTTGGAATGTTTGGAATAGTATGGATTGATTGGTTATGTATGATAACATTCGATGATGGAATTGTATCATTTGAATTGATTTTATTCATAGATATATTCTTGTTTATTTTATATCCAGATGAAGATGTATTTAAAAGTGTTTGTTTCATTTGAGGAGTTGTAGGAAGCTGTGAAAGTAATAATAACAACAACAACAACAAGATGAAAACTGATCTTATTTAAGTGATCATCAAAAACCTATAAGCACAATTCATTAATCCGGATACAAGAATCAAACCTAGAACTTTTAGGTAACGCATAAGAACGTTTAACCTTCAGACTATTGTGGTGAATAGATGGAATTTATTGTGGATTGATCTTATTTAGGGTGTCACTAGACTATTCAGTAATATCCATCAAGGGATGAACATAGAACTCGTTTGGGATCCATTGGTGAACATTTCCATGTTGAGTTAATTCGTGATATAATTCCACGATGATTTATTCTCCATAGTAGCAATTGGTTTACTCAGGATATACGTACTTACTTATTTAGGCCTGTTACTCCCAATAAAGTATAGACCGCTGACTAGCATTCTCCAACCCACTCTGTCCTGGGCCTTCCTTTACAGTCTTATCCAATTGTTGTTCATTCTTCTCACGTCTGCATTTCTTGGCATAATGTTTTCTTCGATGTTCGTTTTTTCCTTCGGCCTTGAGGATTTCAAATGAGGGTTTGACTTATGACGCCTGGAACCCCTCTTGGGCTAATGCCGGTCCCAAGCTCAGATAAAGTGGGGTTGAGAATAGGGTTAGCGACCCAATCCCATAGAAAACTAACTCGCTAACAAGACGCTAATCGGAAAAAAATTATTACTCAGGATATGACTGAAATTAATCATTTATGGCTTGTCATTAAACCTTTAAAAGTCCATCTTGAAATAAGTCATTGGATTTATAGATAATATTCGCTATAATCAAATCAAGTATGAACCTATTATTGGTCATCGGCTACCATGGGACTGCATCTCCTTACATTGCTCTACTGCCTTGTGGTTTAGACCTTTCAGATGAAGGCTCCGGATATGGCTTCCAAAGAAAACCACTTGCTTCTGTTTGAACACTTGGGCAATATCACAGCCTACACACAAATCAAGTGACTTGTGTTACACACATATACTCGGTGTCTCTTTGTACCAATGTTAATATGTTGAAATAAATAAGGTAACAGAGATAATCAACTCAATCTAAAAAAAAACTGAAATAAAATTATCATTGAATTCATGAATCAATAAAAGTTAGAACACCATGAAAAATCTGGAAACATTAGATGACTGTTTCTTTTTAGTATGTACATATCTGAGGAGTCTTATATTAAGACGAAACTGTCATTTAATGTTTTCAAATTTTCAATAATAATCTAAGTTAAATTATCATTTTATATTTAAACTTACTGGTGGACAATGTTTAAATCGTGGTAATGGTTTAGGAAATGTTTGACCAGTTAACCAATTTGTCCAAGTTGAACGTTGACGTAATATCATTTCAATTGGTGTTAAATCTTTTCTAGCAAATTGTGCATATTTAATTAATTGTGAAGTAGTTGGACGTAGATCAGGTTGATATGCTGTTAAATTACGATATAAATCAGCAGCTGCTGGTGATAAATAATCTGGTGGTTGTAAACCACAATTATTTAATACTAAACGTCTAACTTGTCCAATTGTTATACCATTAAATGGTAATAAACCAGTTAACATAAAAAATAATACTATACCAAGTGCCCACATATCAACTGGTCCACCACGATAACTATAATATAAAAATAAACAATATATGTAAGTATATTCATTTCATGTTGTTGTTTTATATCTTCTCATTGTTATTTAGAACTATTACTTACTTACTTACTTACGCCTGTTACTCCTCGTGAAGGAGCATAGGCCGCTCACCAGCATTCTCCATCCAACCCTGTCTTGGGCAATCCTTTCAAGCTCTTTCCAGTTCTTATTCATCTTTTTCATATCTGCTTCTATTTCCCGACGTAATGTGTTCCTTGACCTTCCTCTTTTCCGCTTCCCTTCAGGATTCCAAGTTAGCGCTTGTCTCGTAATGCAGTTTGATGATTTCCTCAATGTATGTCCTATCCATTTCCATCGTCTTTTCCTAATTTCCTCTTCAGCTGGAAGCTGGTTGGTTCTCTCCCACAAAAGGCTTTTGCTGATGGTTATAAAATTAAGTGACTATCAGAACTCAATAGTTAAATGGATAACATGATAACGTTTGAAGTGAATCATACTGGATTTAAGTTGTAGAGTGAACGTGAACTCTGAGATGCAAACACAGTCAGCTGACGAGTGTCAAATAGGACGAAACATGCGTCAAACTAGATTCCACTGCTAGTCATTATCCATCTTTCTTTATGTGTTGAATAAAATGATGAAATACATCATGAAGTGAACTGTACGTATGTAGAGTCTTTTGATAACACTGAGCAACAATACTAGAATGTTTGGAATGAGTGTCTCGTCTTCGAAAAGCAAGTTGTTGCTCCAGGACTGACTTGAGTCAACACTTCGACTAAGGATAGGGAGTCAAATAGTCGAACACGTTAACAACTTCACTTATCTTGGAAATCTGATCAGCCCTAATGGGTTGGTGTGTGACCAAACCTCAGTGCGGATTCAGAAAGATCGTTTGGCTTTTTTCAACTTATGTCACCTCTAGCGAAGGCGAGATAATCGTCTATCAATTAAAGGACGAGTATACTGCTCAACAGTTCGTTCTCTTCTACTTTACAGCTGCCAAACGCGATTAAGAGTGGTAAGTTACTAGCATTTGATGACAGATGTCTTAGAAATATTGCTCGCATCTGCTGCGATCACCAGGTAAGTAATAGTGAGGTTAGACGCAGGGCATTAGGGAATGATGATAAATGAGTTGATGAGGTTATGAATCTTGATCGACTGAGATGGTTGGACCACGTGTTACGTATGCTTGAACACCGATTACCACGACGCGCAATGCTAACTGGTGTTAGGGATGATTAGAAAAAGTTAGGGGCGGCCAAATCAAAAGGTGGCATCAGTCGTTGAAGTCACTAACTTCTAGTTTTAGCCATGTTGATAGATGCAGACTACTTAGTTTGGGTCCGCATAACTATCGTAACCAATGATTGGAGACTCTGTGTGACATTGTTCAGAATCGATCATGATGGTATAGGTGTAGACAGTCTTTGTTTTCCCTTAAACTATGAGATTAAAATCGCTTCATATCTTTCTTTCTATCAACTAATTCTTTCTTCCTGTGTTATGTCCTTATACACAATCTTTCTTTTATATATTACCACCACTGAATTAATTACCTCTATGATTAAGGTGTTAATGAGGTATGGCAACTTAGACCGATGCATATATGTGTCTAGTCCTACATTGTAGCTGACTGACCGACTGACTAAACTGTATGTAATCGATCAAATACATACATAGATTAATGTTAGGAAATCTGTATTGTATATCATGATTATAAGAAATAACCTAATCTCAATTGAAATGTATTCACAGTATTTGGGTTTACATTCATTTCATCATTATACAGAAAGTGAATCACTGATGGGAAGACACGAAAAACTGCACATACATATATAATGCTTTCATCAACTTCTCCTGTAGCTAAATATAATATACGAAGATAACCAGGATGTATATTTTGGCAACAATCATTCATAGGATCGAATTGGAGTCAGATATCCGGTTACAAAACAATCAATTACAAATCATGACAAATGAATATACATAACTGTTGTGATGATACTTTTATTCGATTTACATTTTGTATAATCTTTTCTACTATTACCACTTCCAGTAGTCCGGTATTTGTATTGATAAGTTGATCTCTTTTTGTAGTGACATGGTATAACACCTTGTGATGATGTATATCTGCATCACTTCTTATGTTTCTATTGATTACTTACTTACTTACTTACTTACGCGTGTTACTCCCAATAGAACATAAGCCGCCGACCAGCATTCTCTAATCCACTCTGCCCTACTCCCTTCTTTCTAGTTCTATTCAATTCTTGTTCATTCTCCTTATGTCTGTCTCCATTTCTCGGCGTAACGTGTTCTTTGATCTTCATTTTCACCTTTGACCTTGAGGATTTCAAGTGGTGAGGGATTGAGTTGTGACGCAGTTAGATGCTTTCCTCAATATGTATCATATCCACTTTCAACAGTTCTTCCGATTTCTTCCTCCGCTGGAAACTGGTTTATTCGCTTCCATAATAAGTTGTTGTTGATAATGCCTGCCTAACGGGTCCGAAGTATTTTGTATAGACAATTGTTAATAAACACTTGTATTTTCAGGATGATGGCTTTCGTAGTTCTCCACGTTTCTACCCCATACAATAGAACTGTGTTGACATTTGTATTGAAAATTCTGAGTTTGGCGTTGACAGTTAATTTCAGTTCCAGATGTTCTTTAGTTGTAAATATGCTACTCTTGCTTTACCAATCCACGCCTTCACATCTGTATCAGATCCATCGTGTTCATCGATGATCTTCCAAATCTTCTCCATCAAGTGTGATTTGATTGGTGATTGAAATATGCTTTACAAATTCATTTATCTAATAATATATATTGGCATATATAGTATCTAATAAAGAACTTATGACTACTATTACCATTGACAATTTTTTAATCAACTTTACATATTACATTCTGGTTAGCGTTTTTTTAGTGAGTTAGTTTTCTATGGGATGGGGTCTCTAACTCCATGTCGAACCCTCATTTTTTACCCGAGCTTGGGACCGGCAGTAACTCTGGATGAGCCATAAGCTGAGGAAAATATTAGGAAAACACGATGAAAATGGAAATTATCAAACTGTATTACGAGACAAGTGCTAACTTGAAATTCTGAAGGGAAGCGGACAAGAGGAAGGTCAATGAACACATTACGTTGGGAAATAGAATCAGATATGAAAATGATGAATAACAACTGGAACAAACTGGAAAGAATTGCTCATGACAGAGTTGGATAGAGTGTGCTGGTGTTTGATCGATACTCCTCCACGAAGAGTAACAGATGTAAGTAAGTAAGTAAGTAAGTAAGTGAGTTACATATTACATCATTATTTCTTATTGCATAATTGAAATAAAAAAAGAAAAAAAAAAGAAAAGAAAATGTTACATACGATTTTGATTCAAATAATTCTGGTGCAGCATAGGCAGGTGAACCACAAAATGTTGTTAATTGTTGATTTGGTTCTTTAATTAATTTACTAAAACCAAAATCAACTAATTTCACACGATAATGATCTGGGCATAAATCTATCAATTGAATATGAAGAAAAAACAAACATAGTAAGTTAAGTATGTTAAGAGTTGGTGGTTGGTTAGTGATATTCAATAGATAATCTTAGATCTTGATTTCAATCTAGTTGATATTCATTAGTTGGCACTGATAGTACTGGTTAAAATGAATTCTGATCAACACGATTATAACATTGTTCTAAGATGGTAAAGGAGATTTATAGCTTAGGTGGATGATTTCTATGGAAGTTTGTTCTCTAAGCTGGATAATATAGTGGTGGAGCTTGTATCGTTCTTCTGAAAGACATCATCAACATCACTTCTAGTTGAAGTTTGTGCTGATGATGTCGTTTAGAAGAACAATACAAGCTTCATGACTAAACCATCCAGTTTAGAGAAAAAAACTCCATCAATAACATTGTTCACTATTTAATGATCGGTCATTGTAAATGTATCAATTATAAATGAAAAGAGGTTTTGTGGAGATTGTAATAATTTCAGTAGTTTAGATCATGAGTCAATTGAAGCTAGGCCACCATGGAAAACCTGGAAGCACTGGTGGTCTAACTTTAATTGACTCATGATCTTAACTAATGAAATTACTATAATATCCACAAAACCACTTCTGATATTAATCAACATATGCTCACTACTGACTGGCTTCAAAATATATATCCTGGAGTTCTAGTGAAAAGCAGTGACTAGTGGAATTCAACCGAGTTAGTTGTGAGATAGTAAATGACTGAAGACAATGGTTGATGTATCGCTCAATATCTTGGATTAGTTGAAGTTAGACATTAACACCATTGGATGTCGGCTCAGTGGTCTAGTTGGTTAAGCGACCACACGCGAGACTGGTAGGTCCTGGGTTTAAATCCCGCGAGGCGAGGGTGGTGGATGTGCACAACTGAGGAGTTCCGTCTAGTGCTTCCGGGTTTTTCATGGTGATCTAGTTTCAATTGACTCATGATCTTAACTATCGAAATTATAAATGAGGTAAATCATAGTAGGAAAAGCTGAATATTAATGCCTCAGACTGTGTAACTCTATGATGTAGATTCAAGTTCCATACAGAATATGAATTTCTCCAAGATCTCATAGATATCTTCCTGATGAGTTTCTTATCAATTATTTTGAATCACCCAACATTGAAATATAGTGTATGCGATGACATCTTGAAAGATATTACATATGTGATGTGCATTATAAGTAGTATGTAGCAGGATTTGGAAGTGGGATACCTACTAGCAGAAGAATATAATAAACACAAGAGGAAGAAAAACAGGACAACTGAAGAAAGATGTGCAAATGATGTATTTGATGCATGACTTTTATATTTTACAATGGCACTGTTTGGTTTAGCATATAACAATGGACTTGTATACCGTGTTTAAATTTTCGTTCACTACACATATATTGTAGTGCTTACTCTTATGTCATTGTCATTTTTTAAGATATAAGAGGTTTATTTCAAAGTTCCATCTTTCCCCCTTTTTCACTAGTATATAACTGTCATATGGATAAGGATCTGAGGGATTCAGGATCATCGAAGAATTCTTCAAAATAAAGAAGACGGAGATTACAATGAACATCATCCAATGCTTTGTGCTCACCGATGACGGCACTGGAGACAATAAAGACCAGTTTTATAAGAGGCAACAGTTGATCGTAAAGAAATGTCTAGGAAAGAATGTGATCATTCTGATGGGAGACCAAAATACCAAGGTCAGAGTGTACAACACTGGATGTGATGATATCATATGATGACATGGTCTGGGAAAATGGACGAAAATGGTGAGAGGTTTTTAAATTTATATGGTTTCAACAACATGGAATAAACGTTGAAATATAGTGCTCGTAGTAGGTGACTTCAATGCGCAGGTAGCTAGCTTAAACCAAACAGAAAAACATTTAGGTGGGTATTTTAGTATCCCAACTCAGCGAACATATAATGGTGATTGTCTGTTGCAACTGTGCTCAGACAGTCGTTTATTTTTAGCAAGCATTAATTTTATGCATAAGGGGATACATCGTCCAACATTGCAATCATCTTCATCAAACCAACGATGGACTCAAAAAGACCATATTGCCATCAGTCTTCGTTTGAGAGGCTCAATAGATGACTGTCGCTCGTTATGGTATACCTGTTTGGATTCTGATCATGCTCTAATACGGGCATAAATTTGCTTGCGTCTTACTGGACGCACAAAAACCAGTGACACAAAAGCCAAAAGTATATTGCAGGAACAACTGAGGTCACACTTAGGTAGTTCTGAAAACGAGGTTGACCTAGATGTTGCTTAGAAAGATATACAAACCGCTATGGAAACAGCAGTGACATTTATTAATGATTTAAACCAAAGGGTTACAAAAAACCAATGAATTTCTTCTAAATCTATTGCACTGATGAGTTCTCGTAAACTCAACCCATCTGACTCTGAACATAATGAAGAACGAAAACAAATCAGATCTAGGTTAACCAAAAGTCTAAGCAACGACCGCGAGCAGTGGTGGGCAATGAAAGCAAAAGAGATGGAAAAGGCGGCGGCTATAGGTAATACAAGATCACTTTTGAGGCGAATAAAATATATTGAAATTTACTATCAAGTTACCTAAAACAGGTTTGATTGAACCGATATATAACTCCTTACTTTTACACTTGACTGTTAATGATCATATAGTAGATCGAAATAAATGATTAGGTGATTTATTGTATACCTACTACATTTCTTTATGGAGGTGGTGGTTAAATCTCATCTCTTATATATACATACTGATATGTCTTGCGAATTGAATGCTATACTCGGTTCCTAAGCTATTCTTGTAACCCCCCAAGCTAGAACTATACAACGACCTGAACACGAGAGAGAAGGCGCAAAGTACGCGGAAAGTACTTTACTCCAAGATTCATTTTAATACAGAAAACATAGGGTTTTTATGGTATTTTAGATGTCCTTGGGTTGCTCGAAGATTCTGGAATGCTACTAAACATAGTAACAGTATAAGTAATCAGCCAATCAGAACCTCTACATATGAGGTTTTACTTCGTTGGTATTTCTGGCTAAACTTCAAATGAACGCTGATTGGATGAAATGCATCTTAGTGTTTTTCTGATCCTTTCTTGTCTTTTACGAGAAGTTTTCTGGATCACTTCAACACATACTTACTTATGCCTGTTACCCCTTCGTGGAGGAGTATAGGCCGCCCATCAGTATTCTTCATTCAACCCTATCCTCATATACATAGTAGAAGTTATAAGGATTCAAGGTGAGACTATAATTGATGGATGACTCTTTTTTCGTTTATTTTGCTTCAAATATATATTTCGCTTTCTTCAATTATCTGAACACTTCCTATTACGTAATCCTTGTAGTGTCTGCTATTATGCTAAGCCCACATATCTTATTCTAGCTATCGGACAGCTCAATCTATTCATTCTACTTGAGTCACATTCTAACCATGTTAATTATTCCCTTATCAATCTTGACTGTTTTTATATGAGCGCGAAAGTGTGGGTACACTTCTTATCCCATTACTCAACATATGTCTGTAACTTATTTTTGTGTGCCTATAAATATTGATTAACGCTTGGTTAAAAGGAGAGTTGGCTCACACGCCGACGATGAACCTAACGCATCAAGCTTTTTCGATGAAGAAACATTCGCACTTGATACATTCGATGAACAAACTCAACGAATCTAGCTCAATCTCTAATCCGATGCACTCAACAAGCTTTATAAGCAAAAATGGAAAGTGGCTAACAGTGAAATCCAGTTTGACGCATGTTTCGTTCTATTTTGGACTCATCAGCTGGCTATACCTATATCTTAGAGTTCATGTTCACTCTGGGACTCGAACCCAATACGATTCTCTTTGAAAGCTATCACATTATCCACTTAGCTACTGAGTTTTGATAACCACTTGTTTATTCAATGAGAAGATTTAAGTAATCAATATCAAGTAAAAATAAATAAATCAATAATTATTATATCCACAATACCCCTTCTGATACTCATCAACATATCCTCACTAGTGACGGTCTCCAATATGTAATTCCTAGAGTTCTAGTGAGAAGCAGTGATCATTCGAATTCAACCGGGTCTGTTGTGAGATAGTAACTCACTGATGACAATAGTGGATGTGTTGCTCAATATCTTGGATTAGTTGAAGTTAGACATTAACACCGTTGGATGTCGACCGATTCAATGTTCTCGTGGTTAAGCATTTACGCGAGAGACTCATAGGTCCTCGGTTTGAATCTCGCAATGCGGAATTGTGGATGCACACTACTGAGGAGTCCCACAGTAGGACGAAACGGCTTTCCAGTGTTTTTATGGTGGTCTACCTTCAATCGACTCATAATCTCAACTATCAAAATTACTATAATCTCTTGCCCCCTGAATTCCCTGGTACGGCTGAGAGTGGGGAGAGTCCGCTCTTCCTCTCGAAATGCTCTCATATGGCCACGCGTACATATCGTGTGCCAGAAAAGTCCTACTCACTGACTTCTCGTACCACGGATGCTGTTTACGAAATAGAGAGAACGAAAAGAGAATGTCCGGCGCTTTAACTGGGTTGGTGAACATGAAGAGTTCCAAACCAATGATGCACATAGGCTCTAGTATCCTGAAGGAACAAATGGCGTATGAAATAATTATTGGTCACCGGCTACCATGGGACTGCATCTCCTTACGATGGTCCACTGCCTTGTGCATCAGGTCTTCATATCGAAGGCTCGGGATGTGGCCCCCTTAGAAAACCACCTGCTTCTGTTTGGGCCTCCGTGCAGTATCACAGCCCTTGCACAAATCAAATGAGATTTGTATGGCGCATATGTATTTGATGCTTCCTTGTACCAATATCTATGTGTTCAAATAAATAAGTAATAAAATCCCCACAAAACCCCCTTATGATATTAAATAAATTACCATTTAAGCTTCCTTCAACTTCGTCATCATCACCTTCAATGGAATTGAATTGATGTAATTTATGTTTAGCTAATTTTTTTCCATTATTCTTAGAATATTCTGGTTTCATCCCTAATTTCGATGATGTAACATCATTATTATGTTTATATGGTGATTGTAATCGATTACGATGTGGATGTGGATGTCGATGCTGATGGTGCTGGTGCTGGTGCTGCTGCTGTTGCTGTTGCTGTTGTTGCTGCTGCTGCTGCTGCTGATGTAAGAATTTTTGTATTTTTCCAAATTGTTTATTTTCATCATTAATATATTGATAATTTTTTTGTAATTTTTCATGAATGTGTTTTGATTCTTTTTTTAATTTTTTTGTTTTAATAAAGGTTTCAGTAGTATGTTTAATATCATATGTAAATAATATATTCTCTGCTTTAATATCTCTATGAATAATATTACGTTCATGCTATTTTAGATAAGAAAAACAAAAAAAGAAAAAAAAAGAGAGAAAAGAAATTGAATATTATGTAATAATGATAAAAGTTCTAGGTTCGAATCTCATGAGTTGGAATTATGGATGGACAATGACATTGAGGAATACCATAATAGAATGAAATGACTATCCAGTGATTTTAGATTCTTCATTGTGGTCTACTTTCAATGGACTCATGATCTCATTTATTGAAATTAGTAAAATCTTTACGAAAACTATTCTGATCTTATGTCATAATGTACAAAACCAAGGTTGAATGCGTTGACAACTTCAATTATTTGGGAAATCTGATCATCTTTTTAATAGGTTGATGTCTGATGAAATCTCTGTATGGATTCAGAAAGCTCAATTGGCTTTTATCAGTTTATGTCACCTATAGTGAAGGCGAGATATATGTCTATCAATTAAAGGACGAGTATACTGCTCAACAGTTCGTTCTCTTCTACTTTACAGCTGCCAAACGCGATTAAGAGTGGTAAGTTACTAGTATTTGATCACAGGTGCCTTAGAAATATTGCTCACATCTGCTGCGATCACCAGGTAACTATTGGTGAGGTTAGACGTAGGGCATTAGGGAATGATGATAAATCAGTTGATGAGGTTATGAATCTTCATCGACTGAGATGGTTGGACCACGTGTAGCGTATGCTTGAACACCGATTACCACGACGCGCAATGCTAACTGGTGTTAGGGATGATTGGAAAAAGTTAGGGGCGGCCAAACCAAAACGTGGCATCAGTGCTTGAAGTCACTAACTTCTAGTTTTAGCCATGTTGATAGATGCAGACTACTTTATATGGGTCGACGTGACTATTGTAACGAGTGTTTAGAGAGTCTGTGTAATATGTCTCAGAATCGGTCACAATGACGTCGGTGTATACATTCTCTGTCTTCTCTTTACCTATGAGATTGAAGTTACTTTATACCTCTCTTTCTACGAGCTAATTATTTGTTCCTGTACTATATCCTTATAGTAAATATCCTACAACTAATTTTGATTATGATTAATTCGGGTTAAACACTTTTTGTTAACTTACTTAACAGAAAATGTTATATGGATAGTAACAATTCTCATCTTTCTTTGTATCGTTATGATCATTAGATCATATGACAGACTCTAATTAAATTGTTGATTGCCTATATATCATCCGATGATTCATCCTCCTCTTCATGTATGTATGTAATCAAATCATATTGTTAGTCCTTGATTTGCCTTGCTACTCTCTTATGCAATTTGACTATAAATTTGCATATGTAATCGCTTGTTTATACTTATATGCCTCTGTGCTTCAAATACACTTGATGTGCTTATAGCTTTATGATCTGTGCTATCCGCTAATAGAATTTAGTAGATTTAAAACAGAGTTGAGATTTATGTTATAACACTTCTCTACTGATGCATATCTTGCAAATTATATAGAAATGTTTATAGTTTAGGTTTATTTTTCACTTTTCATTTTTTTCTCAGCGTAACATTTGTGTTTCCCAAGTTATACTACTAATTAGTAGTTTAATAAGTATAACATATTTTTTGTCTCTTTATGGAAAGTTATAACTTGGATTATTTGCTCTCTTTATTTAGCGATATAAATCAGTTATTCAGAAGATTCATGGACTCACTGGTACTTACTTACTTACCTACATAGTTAATCCTGTTAATCCCAATGGAGCATAGACCACCGATCATGATTATCTAATCCACTCTGATCTGGGCCTTCCTTTCAAATTCTATCCAATTTTTGTTCATTTTTCTCAGGTGTGTTTTCATTTCTTGGTGTAATGTGTTCTTTGGTATTTGTCTTATCCTTTGGTTTTGAGGATTCCAAGTGAAGGTTCGCCTTGTGACTCAGTTCGGTGCTTTCCTCGATGTGTTTTCTATTCACCTCCAGCACTTCTTCGTGAATACGTCCTCCGATAGTATCTGGTTTGTTTTATTCCACAGTAGGTTGTTGTTGATAGTGTCTGGTCAACGGATCCGAGGTATTTTGTGTAGATAACTGTTAATAAATAGTTATATGTTCTGGATGATGGCTTTCGTAGTAGAAGTATCTTGACATTTGTACTGATAATTCTCACCCTGTTGTTGGTTGCCCATTGTTTTGAGTTCCAGATGTTCTTCATTTGTAAATATGCTGCTCTCGCTTTGCCAATCCGTGCCTTCACATCTGCATCACATCCACCGTGTCCATCGATGACTCTGCCCAAATATGTAAAGGTTTTTACATCTTCCAAATCTTCTCCGTCAATTGTGATTGGATTGGTGTATGCTGTGTTGTATCGGAGAATCTTGCTTTTTCGTTTGTGTATATTGAGACCTACTGCTGTTGAGGCTGCTGCTACATTGGTTGTCTTCTCCTGCATTTATTGTTGCGTGTGCGATAGAAAAGCCGGATCATCTACGAAATTAAGATCCTCCAGGTGGTATCACATACTTATCTTGGAATGCTATAAAAAGACTGAATAATAGGTGTATTTTGTACAGATGAATTCTAATTCTATAGATGTTCAGTTTTTCGTAGAATATGTATATTAGTGAATCCATGTACAATTAGGATTTGGTGTTTGCGAATATAGCTTCCTATTCATTTTTAGTATCCTCACTTAAGTATGAAGTTGAAATCATATCTAGAAAGTGTGTATATTCGTATGAGAATCGGTCAACCGTCCGAAGTAATTAACTCCGCCTGTAGTTCTTCTAGAGTTACTGCCGATCCCAAGCCCGGGTAAAGGAGGAGGGTTAGGCAAGGGATTAGCGACTCCATCCCGTAGAAAACCAACTCATCAACAACAAAAAAAACGCCAACCAGAAAAAATAATTTCTGATAAGTGACCTATGTTTCTTTACGAGGAGTAACAGGCGTAAGTAAGTATTAGGTAATCAATATCATACTTATCTAGTTCCTACTAATAATCTAATTCTATTAATTGACTTGTAATGTGTTCAATACTCTGAGTAACTGAAAACCAGAAGTATTATCATGTTAAAATACAAGACTGATGTCAAATGGTAAGGAGCTTTAGTTTTGTGGTTTTATTCTATATGGAACTTTTCAGAATGAATTATGTTTAGCAGTATGGGAACTGATAATGTTTGTATGACTTGAACATGTATTGCTTACTGTTCAAGTTAGAGAAGTTATCACTAAGCTACTTAAACAGTGTCTTAACTTCTGTAAGATCACAAGGTAAATACATTCCCTCAAACATTGGTGTTACTCTATGCAACTAGTATGTACCTTCGATTCATCAAGATTTTCTGAAGACTTTATCCAATCAACTTAATTTAGAATTAATTTATGTGAAGGATCAAATACAATCCAACTTGTAGATTTATAAGATACAGCAATTATAATGAATTCAATAATAAACCAGATCTTAGTGGTGGAAGAAATCAGGAAGAAGTGCTTGAAGTGGATAGGATACATATTGAAGAGAGCACTCAATTGTGTTACAAAACAAACCCTCATCACTTGGAATCCTTAAGGTTATAAGAGAAAACAAAAACCAAAGAGCACATTACACTAAGAAATGAAAACACATATAAGAAGTATAAATAACAATTAGGATAGAACTAGAAAGGAAGGAGTAGGACAGAATGGATTAGAGAATGATGATCGGAAGTCTATGCTTCCTCTATGTGTGTGTCTACCCTTCAATATTTAAAAAAAGATCATAACCCATTACAAGTTATATGTAAAATTATACTTACTAAATGATTTACTGCAGCAATTAATTGTGCAAATACAATTCTACCTTCTGGTTCACTTAATTTACCATATTTAATTATTCTTTGATTTAAATCTCCACCAGCTACATATTCCATCACTAAATTTAAATGTGAAAACGTTTCAATAACCTTGAAAATTCAAATAAAAATGAGCGGGAATTAAAGATGATTCAAATGAAATTCATATTAAAAATTTATCTGAATAAGTTGTATATTCAATTGTTTCAATGTGAGTCAACTCAAACGTCTCAACTAACTGTTTTAATTAGTGGATGTTACTTACTTACTTTATGACGACAATTACACCTCATGAAGCAACATAAACCATTCACCGGCATTCTTTATCAAACTCTGTCCTTGACGATACTTTCCAGTTGTTATTCATCCTTTTTCATATCTGTTTGCAATACTCAATGCGGTGTGTGATTTAGCCTTCCTATTTTTCCTATTCTAAATTAGCTCTTGTTTCATGATGTAGTTTGATGATTTCTGTAATGTATATCATATCTATGTCCAATATCTTTTCTTTATTTCCTCTTCAGGTCTCTTCCACAGTAGGTTGTTGCTAATAGTATCCCGTCAATAGACTTTGAGTTTGTTGAGTAGACAATTGTTTATAAATACTTGTATCTTCTTCATGATGGTTGTAGTAGTTCTCGAAGTTTCATCTGCATACATTAGAACTAACTAACTTGATGTTTATATTAAAGATTAAGACTTTGATGTTGATTGACAGTTTTGTTTTAAGTTTCATGTTATTCCAATAATAGGAATACTGTCCTTAGTTTGCTTTTACGTCTGAATCATATCTTCCATGTTCATCAATAATGTTTTCTAGGTATGTGAAAGTTTTCATCTCTGTCAGAACCTCTCGATCAATTGTGATTAAGTTGAAGCTCTCTTTGTTTTAGTTAAGGATCTTACATTTTTCTTTGTTTATATTGAGACCTACTGTTGAATAGGCTATAATTTATGGACGACCATTTGAGCAACGCTAAACTGACTTTGAGACTATCCATCTAATAACTAGAACTAATTGAGGGTTATGAAAAATTTTGGGAGAAAAATTTATGGATTTACAATTGATGGTTAAGGTTAGACATGAGATTTGGGGAGTTTTCATCACAAACTGACATCCACTATAATGCCAAGACTCCGTTTAATCAAATCGGTGATTGAATTTCGCGCCAAAATCCGAGACCTGTTATCTCAAATCTGATTGGTTCACTCATAAATTATAGTCCCGTCAATTTTCCAGAAAAAATATTTTATTTGTTTAAATCATCATGGGTCGATTGAAGCCAGATCACCAGAGAAAACCTGGAAGTACTGGACGACCGTTTCGTTCTATTATGCGACTCCTCAGCAGTGCTTCAATTGACTCATGTTCTTAAACATTGAAATTACTACAATCTCCACAAAACCCTTCTGATATTAGTCAACATATGCTCACTAGTGACTGGCTTCAAGAGGTATATCCTGGAGTTCTAGTGAGAAGTAGTGACCAGTGGAGTTGAACCAGGTCTGTTGTGAGATAGCAACTCACTGAAGACAATGGTGAACGCGTTGCTCAATATCTTGGATTAGTTGAAGTTAGACATTAACACTGTTACATGCTGGCCCAGTGGTCTAGTGGTTAAGTGCTCGCGCGTGAAACCAGTAGGTCTTCGGTTTGAATCTCACAGGGGGCGAGGTTGTGAATGCGCACTTCTAAGGAGCCCTATATAAGGGAGAAACGGCCGTCCAGTGCTTACAGGTTTTACATGGTGGTCTATCTTCAACTGACTCATGATCTTAACCATTAAAAAAGACAATAATATCAATACAATAGTGATATTGTAGCGTACGAGAATACAAATGGGGACAATCGAGTGTATTGGACACCCAAACTCTAGGAATTGTTATTGAAATCTAACAACCATATAGTAAATGCTCGATTTGTAAAACGTCTATCAATTGTCTTAAAATGGCTCAGACTTCGTTTGTCCTTGCATTTTCATACAAACTACATCTTGTTTCCATTCTTTACTTTTCGATTCTCTTATCTCTCTACTGACAGACATTCTGTTCATGGCTAACATCGTGTACTACTTTGCACACACCACACTCGTCCCACCTTTAAAGCAGTCGTTCTTGCGGTGGTTCATGCTACCTGTGCCATATTCTTCTTTCCTACAATCTATGCTACACCCTGGGTCAAAATGTCGAGTGTGCGGCGCACTGACCTCCATAGCTCCGTCGACTTGCCGAGGTACCAACATCCGACATCCACTCGGCACCTGGGACGTTTATTACCCGTGCTCCACCTACCTGCTGATTCATCTACATCCGATGTCCTCCCAGCAGTCGCACGTTCCACCGCTCCCCTCTGTCGACAGAAACCGCTACAGCCAAAGCGGCCCTGCCAAAACACTCCACTAGACGCCACCTCTTCGCACTAGACTGCCCCCGATCGGCACCTTAGCTTCAGGCCCGCAACAGCGCCTGCAGAACAGTACTTATATCGATATAAATAGAACACACCACAACATAAGTATGTATATATCTATATATCTTTATATCTATAATGGTTATAAAATAATGGTATTGTAAACAGGAAGATTTTTATAACACCAATTTTTATTTGTCTAACAATTATTATTATTATTATTATCTTTTTTAGGACAAATTAAAGTACATTTCAAACTGTATACTTGATTGTAATTTGCTTGTTTTAATCTTATGATTTATGACTATGATTATTTGGAGGAGCGGGGGGGGGGAAAGAAAACGGTTTCTTCTTAAAAGAGATAAAGAGAGAGAGAGAAAAAAATGAAACCATAACAACTAAGAGTGTATGAAACCGCCTTTTATATAAGACTAGGCGGTTTTTGACCGGGAGAACAATGTTTGAAAATAAGGAGGGTGAGGATGATGGTGGTAGTCGGTAGGTGATATATATATATATATATATATATATATATATATATATATATATGCAAATAAAAAAAAACAAACAACGGAACAGACAATGATTTCAATAAAGAATGAATGAATGAATAGAAATGGTTATTTAATTTAGATAAGAATTCATATAAATTACAGTGAGACTATAATTTATGGACGATCTTTAAACGACGCTGAAGTGACCTTGAGAGTGTTCACCTAGTAACTAAAATCAATTGAAGGCTATAAACCAGAGTAAGGAATTTGAATAATGATTAAGGGTTACGAATTAAATTTATTTGGTTTTCATCATGAACTGAAATTAGCTATGAATGCCATGAGCCCCCAAATGCCCTGGTACGGTCGAGAGTGGGGAGAGTTCGCTTTCCCTCTCGAAATTCTCTCACATGGCCGTGCGTATATAGCCTCTGCCAGGGAACTCTAAATAGTGTGTCCCTATATGAATTCAATATAATCGTCGACCTTATCCAAATATGTTCATAATTAACAAAACTAGAAGTTCAGGTGAGATTATAAATTATGGACAACCATTGAACGACGCTAAAGGGACTTTGACAGTGTCCACCTAATAACTATGACCAAATGTAAATTAGAAACCAGGGGGAGGAATTCGAATTATTGATTTATAGTTGATATGGGGTTAAGGTTATGAAATCGATTTATGGTTTTCATCATGAACTGACATCAGATTTTTAATACCAAAACTCTTTTAAGTCAAGTGGATCAATGAATTTCGTGCCAAAATCCAAGACGTTTTTTTTTCTTATAACTGATTGATTTGTCCATAAATGATAATCTCGCCTAAATAATTATATATTTGAGGGTACATAGTAGTCATGATTTTGATGGAGTTTTGTTCTCTGAGCTAGATGGTTTGGTTGTGGAGCTTTCATCATTCCTCTGGACGACATCGTTGTCGTTCAACAAAACTCCATCGAAATCATTCACCTGAGCTACAAATCTTCTTCATCATCTCAGTAGTCATGATTACTTATCCATATTAGTCATTAATTCGAAATATATTCAATAATAAATGTTTGATGAAAGAGACATTCTAAATGTAATTGATAAACATTCTCAACATGGGATAATTTAGTATAAAATTGATATTTTAAAATGTAATACATGCAATTATGATATATACTACTGATATTGACAGATATAAGTAGTATATATCATCAATTGAAAGTCAAATACCTGATAACTACCACCATTTCAACCACTGGAGCCTAGGATAGTAACCATCAAGCCAGGGTACATGTAGTCCAGCACGAAGCCAGGTACATGTATCATTATATATTTTTGGGTTATGATAATGATCCTTTTACAAGTTCACCTACGGAAACCTTGTTACAACTTTTAATTCCTCTAAATAGTCAAATTAGGTCATCTTCTCAGCATCAGTCAAGCGACAAAGCCACTACAACAATCATTCAGTCGGTAATAGTGACGGGCGGTGTGTACCTGATAGCAGAATGTTAAGAAGATTGAAGAGAAGAGGACAAGAACAGAGAGTGGTTGATGTGGAAACGAGAGAACAATGAAGTTTGAGACTAATGATTAACATTTCGCATATGAATTATTTACTGTATGGTTCTGAGATTTTACTACGATGCTTGGATACATTCTATTGTTCCCAGTTATGTGTTCTTATTCATTACAATACAAGTAATTCTTATATTAGTAAGGTTTAATGACCAGTTTTAAACTTGTAAATCCTTTAAGAATAGATTATTGTAATTTTACCAAGTGGAAAATTTACTTCGAGATAAATTCCTCACTAATCAACTCCACCTGGAGACCTTCTGGGGCTACTATCGGTCCCAAGCCTGGATAAAGGAGAGAGTTTGGGCATGGGGTTAACGACCCTATTCCGTAGAAAATGAACTCGCCATAAATATGCTAACCAGAAAACTCCTCATTAATCAGTAGTGAAGTTAGAAGAGATAAAACTTGTATAATCTGTTAAAATAGAAAAAACAATCAAGTTACATGGTAAAGATCTTTTAATAAGAAGTATTCAATCTCATAAAGAAGTTAGATATTCAAACTGATGAATCACTGAGTTGTTGCTTTAACAGTCCAATGGTGAAGTCTTAAACTGGGAAGTTCAAATTCCATCGCGAATATCAGTCCCTTCACGGTTGTAAGTATATAACACTGAAGAGTGCCGAACATTACGA